TCATAGTGACATCCTTTCCCGTCAACTATTTCTGATGACCCAAAGATGCATCAACTGCCAAAGTTTGATGATTCTAAGCCAATTAGTACCCGAAATATTTAATTAAAACCATAAATTTTCAAAAGTAGGTCACGGTGACCTACTTTCAGTTGACCTACTCCAAAGATCCAAGATGCATCAACTGACAAAGTTTGATGATTCTAAGCCGCAATATTTAATTAAAGCCATAAATTTTCAAAAGTAGGTCATGGTGACCTACTTTTCAGTTGTCGTACTCCAAGGACCCAAGATGCATCAACTGACAAAGCTTGATGATTCTAAGCCAATAAGTACCTGAAAAAATTTTATTATAGTCATATAAATTTAAAAGTAGGTCACAGTGACCTACTTTTCAGTCGACCTACTCCGAGGACCAAAGATTCATCAACTGACAAATTTTGATGATTCTAAGCCAAATAGTATCTGAAAATATTAAATACAGCCATAAATTTTCAAAAGTAGGTCACGGTGACCTACTTTTCAGCTGTCGTACTCCAAGGACCCAAGATGCATCAACTGACAAAGTTTGATGATTCTGAGCCGAAATATTTTATTAAAGCCATAAATTTTCAAAAGTAGGTCACCGTGACCTACTTTTCAGTTGTTGTACTCTGATGTCCCAAGATGCATCAACTGACAAAGTTTGATGATTCTAAGCCAAATAGTACCCGAAACATTTAATTATAGTCATATAAATTGAAAAGTAGGTCATGGTGACCTACTTTTTGGTTGACGTTTTTCAAGGACCCAAGAAGCATCAACTGACAGTTTTATGATCATAGGCCTTAAAATGTCCAAATTATGCCTCTAAAACACTTTGAAATTGAATGCCTGCAAAGATCAAAAAGTGGGTCACTGTGACCTACTTTTTAATAAATATGGTTTATGGCCCTAAGATGCATCATCTTACAAGATTTATTGATTCTAAACCTCTCAGTATTCCAATTAATGACCTTTTATTGTTTTCATACAGATTAGCCATAAAATGTAGGTCAAGGTGACCTACTTTTTAGTTGATGTACTCCGAAGACCCAAGATACATCAACTGACAAAGTTTGATGATCATAGGTCTTATATTGCTTAAAATATGCCTCTAAATCATTTTGAAAAAGAATGGCCACAAAATTTAAAAAGTAGCTCACCATGACCTACTTTTGAATCAACATGATATGAAGTCCTTAGATGCATCAACTGACAAGATTTGATGATCATAGTTCTCATAGTAAACAAAATATCAACATTTTAATAAAATGTAATTTTTGGTCAACTTTGAAGTGACCTTGAGACCACGCCCTTTGCCCCAGGGTGATGCCTTGAATAATTTTTAATAAACAACATATCCTTATCCTTTTGTGTTAAGTTTGGTGATAATCAGTTGTTTTGCGTCCCATTCGAGAATTTTTCACTCATATAGAAACGTCACCATATACTGGTGAAGGGCTTCAATTTTTGACCTTTACTCGGCACTCAGGGCCTTTGAGCAGTGAGGGATCTTTATCGTGCCAACGCCTACCGTGACACAGGGCCTCAGTTTTTAAGGTCTCATCCGAAGGACCCGCAACTTTCACTTCAAAGTGCCGAGCACATGGCGAAGGAACAGTTGCTACCCATTTTTTATCGACTTAGGTCTGTAGCAGGCGAGATTCGAACTCATGACCTCCTGATCACAGAGCGAGCGCTCTACCGACTGAGCTACTGTGAACGGTCCTTTGGCTCAGAAGAGCTAATAAAGAAAAATATTTATAAGTTGCAAACCTTTTTTATGCCCCAGGATCGAAAGATCCCGGGGGCATGTTGTTTTTGTCCTGTCTGTCTGTTTGTCTGTTGTCAACTTTAACCTTGCCAATAATTTTTGATTGGTTGGAACTATGACTTTCATATTTCACATGTATATTCCTTGTGACAAGACCTTTCTTTGGGTACCATCATATTTAACATTTTGACCTTGACCTTAGAGTTTGACCCACTTCTGCAAAATTTTATGAGACTTTACTTTGCCCATAACTTCTGAACAGATGGTGCTTGGGGTTTCAAACTTCACATGTGTATTCTTTGTGACAAGGCCTTCCTTTGGATACCAACAACTTTGACCTTTTGACCTTGGAGTTTGACCTACTTTTGACAAACTTTAACCTTGCCCATAACTTCTGAACAGTTGGTGCTTGGGGTTTCAAACTTCACATGTGTTTTCTTTTTGACAAGGCCTTCCTTTGGATACCAACAACTTTGACCTTTTGACCTTGACCTTGGAGTTTGATCTACTTTTGAAAAACTTTTAACCTTGGCCATAACTTTTGCATGGTTGATGCTAGGGCTTTCATACTTCACATATGTAATCCTTGTGACAAGACCTTCCTTTGGATACCAACCACTTTGACCCTTTGTCCTTGACATTGTAGTTTGACCTACTTTTGAAAAACTTTAACCTTGGCCATAACTTTTGAATGGTTGATGCTAGGGCTTTCATACTTCAAATATGTAATCTTTGTGACAAGACCTTCCTTTGGATACCAACAACTTTGACCTTGACATTTTACTTACTTTTAAAAAAAAATTAACCTTCGTCATAACTTTTGAAGAGTTGCAACTAGGTCTTTCAAATTTCACAGGTATATTCCTCGAGACAAGACCTTTCTTTGGGTACCAACATTTTTATCTTTTGGCCTGGATTTTGACTTGCATTTGAGAAACTTTAACCTTCGCCATAAGCTGCCATACGGGGGCATCAGTGTTTCACAAACACGTCTTGTTTATTCTGTGGCAGTTTACATAAGTACACTATTTATAACATATCAGCGAGGATTGCTGTTAAATCAAATATCACATAAAAACTATATTAATATGCAAAATCTACAACAAATCTTTGCATAAAACAAAACAAATACTTTATTTTATTTGTTAAAACAATATAGAGCCATTAAACCTGTCAGTATGCATATCACAGCATTTTCAGTGTATTCTACTCATTTTCCTTTACATCAAAAAATGTCTGTTGTCTTCAAAAATGTCTATAACTTCTTCAATAATGGTTCAAACTTTATAAAAATTGGTATGTACTCAATTCAAAGTATATCCTTTCCAAAATTGTAAAAAAAAAAAATCATATTGCCTGATAAAAAATATTGAAATATGGTATCTGTATATGACTTCCCCTGTATGTTTTTCATATGATACTAGCTAGGATTGCTGTCAAATTTAACATCTCATTTAAATTTAATTAATATGCAAAATCTAAAGCAAATCTTTGCATAAACTAATCAAATTACTGTGTCTTTAAACAATATGGAGTCATTTCAGCTTGTCAGTATACATATTATGGCATTTACAGACTTATTTTTCTTACCAATTCATCTCGAAAAATATGGTAGTGCTGTCTCTAAAAATGTCTACAATTTCTTCAATAATTGTTAAAACCTCATAAAATTTAGTATACATATAAATCAAAGTTTTTCCTTTCTAAAACTGCAAACCAATATTAATGTTGCCTGGTAAAAAGTAATAAAATATATTGGCTCTCTATAACTTCCACAATATATTTTCTACTCTTATCTTTAAATCCAGTAATGCGTTAACTCAATAAATCTTGAAATATAATTGACACTTCGATAACCCAATCAAGAAATAATGCTAAAATTGAAAATATATTACATTTCTACTTATCCACTTATGACTAATTTTCTCCCCACTTTCTACAGGTACATGTCAGTTCAATATACATATGTACCGTACATAAATGTATATATGCTTACATACTAAGATAATCCACAACCTTTTGAATAATCTTTGAGGATTTTGTTATTCTTACACTCTTAGGATTTTCTTTCAATGGTTCTGAAAATATATATCTAATACCATTTTCTGGGTCTCTAGCATGAATTTGTCTCAGTTTTGACAAACTAAGTCCACATACAACCAATTATCGAAGTATTAAAGCTGACACAACTTTGCATCTTAATAATGGCTCTAAAGACTCTTTACGTGTGTAATATGGTAAATAAAAAGCATTTTCAGACACTGTACTTTCTGACAGACACAACCTAAAGTAATATATTTACTTTTCTAATGCTGTCACATCTGCCAGCGAATTATGAGCCTCATATTCCTCTCCTAATAGATTCCGAACCAATGTCTCTTGCTTGTAGTTAGGAAGCTGGATATCTTTCAATAATTTTTTGGAAATCTTTAGAATATCTAAAAATCCAGTTACATTCTTACGAAATCTTCAAGAAGATCACAATTTCCCAAATGGTGTCACAGTATTGGTAAGTCAAAGTTTTGAATGTTGTGTCCCACTAACACTGGAAGGTCAAAAGACTCTAAAAATATCAGAAACTTGGTGAGTGCTTCAGGTGGAGGAAATGCAGTGACTGCTTCTCCCTTGTAGCAGAGGTTGTTTCCATCGAAGGTCAAAGAGGTTGCTTCAGACGCTTCCTTGCTGATGGAGTGAGTGGGCAAGGCATACACTGAGAACTCCTTTTCTTTGCATTTTGCAGCAATTTGAAGTATATCAGATGTTCTTCCTATAGAAAGAAACAAAATGTGTGATCTTATTGGCATACTCAATGTAGTGATTACAAGAGGGATTTTAAAAGTATTATATGATTAACAAACACCTATAAATTATACATGTACTGAAATTTAAAAATGAACAAACCTAATCCTCCTGTTTCCAAATCAAAGAACACCAATGGATGTGTATGCAGATTGTCAACAGGGGCATCCAGTTGAATATCATCTATATCTAGGTTTTCTTCAGCCTCTAAGCATATTTTTGGCTTATATGTATCTCCTTGAAAAATAAATCATTTTGTTTTTAGATTGCATCAATATATGAGTAAATATATTAAAGATGATGAAATTGCTAAAATTAGTCAATACTAAATAAATGTACATACTAAATAAATGTACATGTACCTTCAAGAACAGACTGTGATGCATTCTTAGATTGCCTTTCAGCTTTTAGCTCCAGTCTTCTTCTTTTGGCACTTGGCTGTGCATTTCTCAGGCGCTTTCTTTTCAGCCTAGCATCCTTGCGTCTCGTGTTTCATGGTATATGTACCAGGTGATAATGAGCAACTCTTATTTAGCTACAAATCAAAGTTACTTAATTACTAAACACTGAAACACATATCAGCTCATTAGACACATGAGAAAATAATTATAATAATTGTGGAAGTTAAAAGTAAATTCCTCTCTTTAAGTTCCAAGACATATCACTGGTTATAAATTTTAAGTTTATATTATTATCTTATACATATACATGTATTAGAAATAAATAATGCTATAAATACTAGTTGGTAGAGTCCCATATTTAAAAACAAAATGTGTTTGTGAAACACTGATGCCCCCGTATGGCAGCTTATGGCGAAGGTTAAAGTTTCTCAAATGCAAGTCAAAATCCAGGACAAAAGATAAAAATGTTGGTACCCAAAGAAAGGTCTTGTCTCAATAATATACCTGTGAAATTTGAAAGCACTACCTGCAACTGTTCAAAAGTTATGGCGAAGGTTAAAGTTTTTTAAAAGTAAGTAAAATGTCAAGATCAAAGTTGTTGGTATCCAAAGGAAGGTCTTGTCACAAGGAATACACGTGAAGTTTAAAACCCCAAGCACCAACTGTTCAAAAGTTATGGCCCAGGTTAAAGTTTGTCAAAAGTAGGTCAAACTCCAAGGTCAAAAGGTCAAAGTTGTTGGCATCCAAAGAAAGGCCTTGTCACAAAGAATACACATTTGAAGTTTGAAACCCCAAGCACCAACTGTTCAAAGTCATGACCAAGGTTAAAGTCTCATAAAATTTTGCAAAGGTGGGTCAAACTCCAAGGTCAAGGTCAAAAGGTCAAATATGATGGTACCCAAAGAAAGGTCTTGTCACAAGGAATACACATGTGAAATATGAAAGTCATATCTCCAACCAATCAAAAGTAATGGCCAAGGTTAAAGTTGACAACAGACAGACAGACAAACAGACATACGGATAAACAGACAAACAGGACAAAAACAATATACCCCCGGGATCTTTTGATCCAGGGGCATAAAAATCAAATCAAGAATGGCTGCATGTAACACATTCTACCTCAGATATGTATTCAAAACCATCATTTTTTTGGCAAACTGTGTCAGAGAGCCTTGAGGCAAGGCTTTCTGAGCCCCCATAAAATCTGCATTACAGATGTATTGCAAAATAAGCTACATTGCTCTTATACATTTATTACTATTGTTTATAAATATTTAATGCTATAGGGGTGAGTACATGTAACAACTTGTTCACATACATGTAAGTTTCAAACTTAAATTTAAGAACTATTTTTATTATAGTTTGCACAGGTATGTCATGTACTTACAATCTCTTTGGTGCTTTTGAAGCTGCCATATGGTTAAAGCTTTCATTTGACTGAGTGGACCCCATATTGGCCAATTCAGATGATCTAGGTATGAATTTCTCCATCAGAGACTGCAAGGCCACTCTAAGGTCTTTGTCATCAAGTGGTTTTCCATATGGCAGTGCCTTGTGTTTATATCCCTCCTCCTTACCCATGCACCAGGTTCCACAACTAGAATGCTCACCTACACAAGATAATACTTCATTAGCAATATATACATATCATTACATAATCATGATATAATAACAACCATTTCCCAGATAGTAATAAGTTTTTCAACAGACTTTTAAAAGTAGCCCTAATATTTCACTCAGCAATACATTCTAGTTGACTTTCATTACACACCATACAAATGAGGAATAATACTGCTCAGTCCAATGGCTAGTTGTTCTCGTTGGCCCTTGTTTTGCGAAATACTGTAGCTGAAACATCTTTCAATGTGGGAGCAGACTTTAGTGTTTCGCAGTAGCTTTTGGGTCTTGCTCAGTTCTATGAGGGAAGCCGTGAACCCTTTCTTTGTGTGATTACTGTCACACTGCTTTCTGATGTTCTTGTCTACGGTTGACTTCACTCTAGCTATCGTAGTGCTATCATTGTCCATCACTAATGTGGATACCTGTAAAATAATGATGATATAAGGCTTATTCAGAATCATCTCAAAGATTACTTTGGAAAAACATTCTGGTTATTAACACATTTTACTTTTTCTACCTGGTCCAAAACAGACTGCAGCATTTCACAAGCCATGGCTGGTTCCATTGATTTAGCAGAACCTTCCCAATTTTTCTTACAGTTATGCTTTCTTGGTGTTACATTTTTCTCTTTAGTTGCACTGCAGATATGACATTTCTTACTCTTCAGTGCATAACCAACACGTTTTCCTGTTTTCTGCCTTATTAGAGTGGCATGACCTGAAAGACATTTTCAGTTATTTTTAGAAAGTACCTTCAGGTGTACAGAAATTATAAATTGTTACTCTTATCAGTAAAAGAATAATGTCAAAACACATCTCACCAATAAGACTATTATAAGACCTGCCAGTGCCTCTTTTTTGCTATGCTCCATCGAAACTTACAACAATGCCATCCTCTTGAGAATCAGTTCTACAAGAAATAAACAAACCATAAAAATGATGGACATAGCCACTAAAACTTAAGATAGCATGTGCAACAAGTGGTCAATCACAAAGAGAGCTCTACATTCTAAAGTGCATGAATAGTGGAAATTCTGATAAATTATTGTGTGTAATTTCCTGTATTCCTATGCAGTGCTACCAAAATTCTGAGATAATCGCAGACTATATATAATATAGTACCAAGAAACATTTACATTTTTCAAATATTTTTCATAAGATACTTTGCAAATTAAAAAAGGTTCATTTTCTCTTGAGCTACTATGGATGAGTATGAATATCTCCGTAATACCGTACCTGACATCTAAACTATAGTACAAACTGTTTTGCTTCAAAAATGATAGTTGAATGAAAGAAATTTTTGGAAAGTCGGGCATATAAATAAATAAAGGACTTCATAAAATATGCCAGAATGAAGGGTCATAGTTTATGTTCTCATAAATTCTCTCATACCATCAGTACATACACTAGACAAAATTGCTAATGCACCACTTATTATTCTTATTTGTGAATTGATCATTTTCCTGATTGGTACTAGTATATAAAATATGCCATCTTTTCCAAAACAGTTGGATTGACAAATGTCTTGGTGTCATGTCAAGACCCTTAAAGGACCTTCTTGTCTGAAAACCAATTTCCCGACGTGCACTGCGCACCGTTTTTGCCAAGATATGAAGTTGGTGATTACCGATGGTGGTCCATGACGTTGCAAAGGGAGCAGTCTCCCACTTAAAAATCAAATGATATACCCTGATTGACTACCATATCGCTTAGTAGTCACCCAGTGCCTTGGTGTCCCTACCAAATCCACCCAACTTCCGGTTGCCCCAATTTTGTGGAATAATCTTGATATTATTGTGTGGTGCTCACTTAATGCCGTCAATATCTACTATAAACATTTTCATGATCGTTAATTCATTTTCAACAATTTTTCATCAGAGAAATTCATAATCATTTAATTCTTTTAATTTTTTACAAATTTCTTCAAAGGAACCCCCTGCAGACATCATACTGGCTGCCTTAGCACGCTCTTCTAGAGACAAACGCCGCATACGGTGTAACTTTTTTTCTGAGTTTTTAATTCGTACAAACATAAAGAACACAACCACAAAGAAAAAATTAGAAATTAATTCCACCAAAAAAGTATAAATGTGATTTTAATTTTTTCTATGAAGTGGTTATGCTTCAGTAAACATTGTTGTTATTTATCAGTTAAAGCATCAAAATGTCTCATTTTATACTAAAGTAACATAATTATATATCAAAAACATCATAAACAAGTTTTGAAAAGAAAAATGTTAATTTATTTAGGTGGTGCATTAGCAATTTTGTCTAGTGTATATCAATTCTGTGTGTTTCTAAATGAATTATCAAAGTTTATACTTACAAAGCTACTTCAGTTGCCAGATTTCTTAAACATGATGCAGTTGCCATTCTCTCAAGCTTCTCTCCAACTTCCCTTTTTCTCTCTTTTAAGTTTTTATGACATATTCCAGGAATATTCAGCATTGCCATAAGAGTGTTAACATGGCTTTCGCCACACCCTCCATTGACCATACCTATGTTGCACATAAAATATATATGTATTAGACTATCAAACCATAAATACAATATGAAATTGGATAGAAATATTTGATGTAATAGCAAATCTAAATGATCCACTTTTGTCTATTGTATTATTGAACTTAATGATGCAATATTGGAAGTTTTAAACGACAAATTATTATGTTATTTTACACTGGCCATCTTACCTGCTGCTAGTTTTGTATTGGCATTCCATGCCAGCCCACCCTTTTCTGTCCGATGACGGCTTCCTGTGGCAAGGTCGTTTACTAGCTGACAGCTTTCACACTTAATTTCCAGGACCTGGGAAAGTCCAAACTTTTGTTCGTTTATGCAGTCATGTAAATGTAGGGGGGACTGGCAAAGCTGACAGGCCCTTAACCCATCTGCAAGAACACTCAATTCCACAATATGTCTACCCACTCGCCAATCATAGCTTTTACTGTTGTCTATAGAGGGATATCGATCATCACACACGCTCACTTCTTCCTCTAAACCAAAATAATCATGATCTAAGTGCACGAATTGTTCACATTCAGTGTGATCAACGTAATTCCGGTCACCTTCCGAGTGAATCGGTGGTAAAGGTTCACCCCTGTTCTTGGCTAAGCGCACTGACAAACCTTTTTTTTAAGTCAAGTACTTTTTTGCTATGTCCTCGCTTGATAAATTGTCCGTTTTTTTTATGCAGCAGATGTTCGTTTTTGGCGGATATTGTAAATGCATAACCGGACTTTAACTACTGCTAACTTATGTTAAAAACAATAACAGCATAAATATTCTGGAATATTTCGTCGTGATGCTGATGATGTCATATGACAATCGAAACACCTTAAGCAAAAAAGATTTGGCCAAAACTTCAGTGTCATTTTGACCATTTTACATGGCATATTTTGACCCTTCGTGGGCTTAGCTCTTTAGTGTAATATATTAAAAAGTTATTTTAATTCAAAAATGTTAATTTTGCTAAGTGATAACATCCTCATGTATCTACATTGCTTTTTGGAAAAACAAGGGAATTCGGGGAAATTTTGAGAGTATTCAAATCTTGGTTTTGAAGAAAATTTTCATCTCCAGACATGATAAACATGATAAATAATTTAGATTTTATGTACAATTAGTCTCATACTATTGTTGATCACTTTATTTCATCCAGTGAAAGTTGTTTTCCAACATTCATTGACATGTTCTTAAATATCATTTTTCTTTTTTGTTGGTGTTGTTCCTGCTGGCATTGATCATGTGTTGATAATGTAACAATCTCGTTCTATTAGAAGCCATTTTATAATGACTTCAAATTTCGATTTGTCAAAACATCTCCCATATAATTGTTAACAACTGCACTGATAATTTACCGGTACACAGCCTACAGTTCATAGCCATTGGCATTGCAAGCTTTACTTGATAGTTGGAAATGACATGTGTGAACTAATTACAAACCAAATCCGGATACTGGGTGATTTTCGGGTTGTTCAGCAAAAATCAAGTGAAAAGCATGTCATAAAAAATAATCGGGTTATGGGTTGAAAAACTGGTTGTGATGCTACGAAATTTGAGTTGGCAACTATGACCCCCAGGGATCATGATTTGAACAAAAGACTTGTATCTACACTACCTGAGGATGCTTCCTTAAAAATATGATTAATCAATACTTTGCTATTCTTGAAAAGAAGATTTTAACAGATTTTTTCCTATTTATTTCCTTGTAAAATTTATCCCCCATAGTGGCCACAAAAGCTACCACCAAGTGTCATGATTGAATTTGAACAAACCTACGTATACACTATCTGTGGATGCTACGTACCATATACATATGATTAATGACACCTTTTTCTTGAGTAGAGAAGATATTGAAAAGTTATTCGAATAGGTGATATCACCTATTCGAATGAGTGATATCACCTATTCGAATAGGTGATATCACCTATTTGATTTGAATTGGTGATATCACCTATTCGAATAGGTGTTATCACCTATTCGAATAGGTGATATCACTTATTCCTTTTGAATAGGTGATATCACTTATTCGAATAGGTGATATCTATGAGGCGCCGTTTTGGTATTTACTGCCAAAAAGTGATATCACCTATTTGAATAAGTGATATCACCTATTCGAATAGGTGATATCACCTATTTGATTTGAATAGGTGATATCACCTATTCGAATAAGTGATATCACCTATTCAAAATGATTAAGTGATATCACCTATTCGAATAAGTGATATCACCTATTCGAATAGGTGATATCACCTATTTGATTTGAATAGGTGATATCACCTATTCAAATAAGTGATATCACCTATTCAAAAGGAATAAGTGATATCACCTATTTGAATGGGTGATATCACCTATTCGAATTGGTGATATCACCTATTCGAATAAGTGATATCACCTATTCGAATAGGTGATATCACCAATTCAAATCCAATAGGTGATATCACCTATTCGAATAGGTGATATCACCTATTCGAATAGGTGATATCACTTATTCGAATAGGTGATATCACCTATTCAGAAGCTGAATAGGTGATATCACTTATTCGAATAGGTGATATCACCAAATGAATAGGTGATATCACCTATTTGAATAGGTGATATCACTTTTTGGCAGTAAATACCAAAACGGCGCCTCATAGATATCACCTATTCAAATCAAATAGGTGATATCACCTATTCGAATAGGTGATATCACTTATTCGAATAGGTGATATCACTTTTTCGAATAGGTGATATCACACATTCGAATAGGTGATATCACCTATTCAAATTATTTATGAAATAACAACTGCTCCCAAGACTAAAGCCTTTAGGTTAATTCTCATTTACTTTCACTTTCGTTTTATAACTTACCATTCTTGCAGATAATGGATAAAAGCTTCGCATTTAGTTTTAAGCACCCCAGTAGAATTTGTAGTTTGTTTTGCTCACAAATTATATTTATTACACTTATCTATCATGTATACTATAGGAAAATTCAAAGGGTCTGTAAGTCTCGCTGACTTTCACTTTCGTTTTATAACTTCCGGGTACCTGAACATTCTTGGAGACAATGGATTTTAAGTTGTAAGCATCGCAGTGGAAATATTAAACTTGTAGTTTGTTTTGATTCCCGCTTGTTGCAAAGAAGAGGAGAAAATGGATTGAAAGATGCAGGTAAATAGCGTTTAATTGCTTTATTTTTTCATTACATAACGTAAACACAAGCTATTCCGAGGGGGCCAAGATTAGCCAACATACTTAAGCATAAAGGGAAAATTAAATCGTTTTTATGCTAAAATCGTCTGTATTCAAAAGCTACGATTGGTTTCATAAATTTAAAGCATTGATTTAGCTTACAATGGTATAATTTGGAGTATTGGACAGGTATACATGAGATTGGGATGTTGAATGCAATGTCATTGAAAGCAAATAAAAAAAAAAATAGATGTACCCAAATGCATCGACCATGGGAATACAAAGTTGAATACCACGTCGATAACATATGATCCTTGTAGAAAACATATTCTATTTTTTTTAATTTAATTACTACAATAAATAAAAATGGTCAGCTCATTCTGTAGGCTACCCTGTCTATTCAGAAATAAAAATGGTCACACACACTCAAAAAATAATCATTTTTTATTCTACAAAGAAGAAGGCATTTTTTCATTTACACATACAAACTGTATTAAATGCCAAGTTTCATGACCCCCCCCCCCCCTTTCCAATACTCCTACAATTATAAGACAGACTTTTTTTTCTCGAAATAGGCATTTTTCTCCATTTGTCATTATATATTACAGGGCTGCACAAGGTACTGAAAAAGGGACAGTGCTTTGAGTGAATGTGTTATCCATGTATCAGAAAATGAAGCAGATCCCCCAGTTATTATACTCATGAAGAGTGTGACAACTTCCAACTTCCAAGTTGGTAATGATGGAACTCCATTTAAATCAGGTACAAGTTAAAGTTTAGGCCGCACAATTCTTTATTACAATATTCAAAACTTAATAATTCAGGATCAAGTTCAGTTAGTTCACACAAGCTCACATTCCATGGTTACTTACAGCACCATTATGCTAGATAAATTTATTATACACTTTCATGTTAAATAGTCAAATTTGATTGGTTTAAAAAACATTTGTTAACAAGTACTATTACATGTACCATACTGCATGCCAAACATTACATCCCAATGGTTGAAAATGCATGACTACGGGTAACAGTATATACAGTAATAAAAAATGTTAACTGTGCAGAATGTTTGCACGTTCATTTCACCTTGATGTTTTCTTTAAAATGCATTCTATAACAAGAAAAATATTACCTGTTTATTTTGGGTGATGTGAAATTCTTACTCCTTAAAAACCATTGCTGACTGAGGGGAGGTCAGCGATGGTTTTTGTATTATAACAATTTCCTGTTATCCTACTAAACATGTAATATTTTTATGTTATATGTACTTCTATTTGTAAATGTTAATGACTGTGAAAAACATAAATATTTATTAATTAGTAAAATCAATTTAATACACTATAAATACACAAAAGGACAAATTTGTACATAATTCTATGTGATTAAGTTAATTACTTTATATAAAGGATGTAAATGGGCATATCATTGTTAATATTCAAGAAAGTGTTCACTGTTTTTCTTGTAGATGCTTCTTTCCATCTGATGTTTTCCAGGTTTTTGTGAAAAGTTTTCTTAAAAGTGGCACCATTCAACTACAAATACTATGCCAGTGGAACTGTGATATCAATCAACTGCTTATGACACTGATAATTGGCAGAGAAATTATTTTTTTTTATTTGGGACAAGCAATCTGTTTCAAACATTTTACACCTGCAAATTGGTACATGTACTTCATGAAATGCTTGAAGGATGCCAAAGGCTACTGAAATTCCAAGTCAGATGAAATTCAAAAGGATTGATACAAATGTCATTTGAAGTTTTCTATTCTTAGTGATGAGCGTTTTTCAGGATGCCCTCTGATATCATGGGTACAACTGGTCACTGTCCTTTGTTAGTTACACATGCAGACAACTTATTAAGGCAGTGATATAAGTAGCTCGAAGTGATGCTTTCTTGTTTTCCTCAGATTTATAACCTGGATTGATCTCTGATGCAGTAATTTAAAGCCATGTCTTTTCACTGTCACAAAGTACTGAAATAAAAATAATTTTGATTAAAATATTTTTTTAAATTCACATCATTAAATTTTTAAGCTACAGAAATTCAAATTAATTACCTATTAGTAAATAGAAATCTTTAATTGATTAGCAAGCCTTTGCATTGTCAGATCCTTTTCTGAAAGGGCCATTTACCTTTAACAATGTCAGGAAAGGTGAGGCAACTGGCTGGTCTTCCTGCTGGAAGTGTGTGTTAACTCTGTAATCTTTTTAAACAAAACCATCCAGTGATGTCCTAAGATTGCCAGATGAGCAGACATATACCTGTATTTAAGAAAGATTCTGTAACATGACATAGAATTTTTGCACAGCTTGACGCACAACTGATGGTAACTTAGGTGCCTGCAAAATAATAAATCTGGCACATATTTATTTATTTGATACAGACCAGAACAAAATTTGTCCTTTTACAGAACAAATTATTTTCATTATAAAGAAAAGAGAAATGCATATGTACTGTGTTAATACTTATAACCAGTACATGTATTATTGGATATTTTCACCCCATTCTAATTTTTAAAATATTCACTCTTTCACCCTTGAAAACAATTTTGCCCTTTTAAAATTTGATCAGACACATTTGTGTCTAAAAGATAAATGCTGCCTTCTTCGAATTTGTCCAATTTTAAATTCACCTACTTGTAAGGAGGACAGAATGAGAAAAATAAAACTTAATTGGGGTGAAAAATTTCCAGAACAAAGTACCATTACTTGCCAGCCTGTTGTACTATAACTCCTCCAGCCTTACAATATTCTATAATCATTGCTTTCATGCGATACCCCCCAGTGGATTGATGGTCTCTTTTCCAAATTATATGCACTTTCTAAAAAGAATGAATTTGTCTATATTTATAAAATTTAGTATTACAATTTAATAAAGACAGTAAAACAATGTTAACAACATTTATATGCAAATGAACCTCTGTACAAATCACTTATAAATGATTGACAACTTGTATGGAATATATCAAATACCCTTAATTTTGACATTTGGAAACTCAGCGTTGAGGCCAAACAAAAAAAAATATGTGTGGTTCAGGTTACACCTCCCAAAAAAATGGGTAGGTAGGTAGGGATTTTTTTTTTTTTTTTTAACAAAATGATTTTCTAAATTTTTCTAAATAATACCTATTTCTTTTCGTTAGCATAAGTGAACTATTCTTGCATAATCAGTGCAATCAAATAAATGTTTTCTCAAGTTATCTTCCCCCCAACTCCAAAAAACATTACCTGGCCAGCTGTCTGTGTGCTTTCAAGCGAGAAGTGATTTCCTATCCTGACTTCACACCTTTGTGTGCATTAAATAATAAAGGGGCTAATCAGCATGCACTTGTTATAAACCAGCTGTAAACAGAGCAACTAACTGAATCTTGCCACTCTTGGGCATAATTATTTAATTTTGGCAACCAAAAAACAAACAAACAAAAACCATGGCCCTGGAAAAAGGTATACTGCCGCGCCATGCTAGCTTGCTTTAGATTTAACACCATCAAACACTTGCACTACGTGTTGAAATGATTTTTGCATGGAGGCTGCCATTGTTGGAACTAACACTAATACTGAAGTGGATGACGGAAATCACGGAAAACTCCAGAAAATAAATATGAAAATTGCCGAAAAAAAGTTTAGGGTCGGGGATCTAAAATAGGGATGGTCAGGTAACGGGAACCACACATATTTTTTTATTTGGCCTAATAATATTCCATACATGATTGAGCTGTCACCTGATGAACCTTTAATTCTTTTCTATTTTTGATATGCTTTATATGTATAGGAATTATAAGAGTAAATGTATGTCCAAAAACTTATTTTGTGACATCAATTTCATACCTGTATTTGAGTTGCCTTTTTGAGGATATACCGGGTAGATTATTCAAAGTCGATGTACATGTAGTCTTAGATGCTGCAGTCTCTTGTACTTGCTATAAAATAAATCTTAATTGTGTAAGATGAAAGAATATTTCAAACACTGCATGAAACAGACCAAAACTTTAACCAAAATATCCTCTATAACATGCTCTGTTGCAACCACTATTGAAATAACGACCACTATTGAAATAATTATTTCAATAGTGGTTGAGAGTGCATTTCAAAACTAAACATAGGTTGTAACCACTATTGAAATAACGTTCACTATTGAAATCATTATTTCAATAGTGGTTGAAAGTGCATTTCAAAACCAACAAGAGGCCCATGGGCCACATCGCTCACCTGAGCACATTGGCTAGGCAAAAGCACAAAAGCACAAATCAGTTCAGTATTGAAAAGGTTACCGGGGGGGGGGGGGGGGGGAGGGGGGGATACCTGATGATGCTTCCATGTCAATATAACAAATGGCTTTGTTGTACTTGAGTAAATTTTGAAAAATTTTTCCCATATAATCCTTTGTAAAAATTTGATCCCCCATTGTGGCTCCTCCCTATCCCAGAGGTCAATATTTGAAAATTTGAATCTACACTACCTGAGGATGCTTCCATTTCAATATGACTAAACATAGCTTTTCTGTTCTTGAGAAGAAATATTTTTTCTGCATGTTCTTATGTAAAACTTTCAATCCCCCATTGGGCCCCACCCTACCCCAGGGGTCATCATTTGAACGAATTTGAATTTACACTATCTGAGGATGCTTCCATATCAAAATGACTAAACATGATTTTCAGTTCTTGAGAAGAGGATATTTTCCTATATGTTCCTATGTAAAATTTTCGACCCCCCATTGTGGCCCATCCCTATCCCCGGGGGGTCATCATTTTAACAAACTTGAATTTACACTACCTGAGGATGCTTCCATATCAAAATGACTAATCATGGCTTTACAGTTCTTCATCAGAAGATATTTACCTATATATTTCTATTTAAGACTTTGATCCTCCATTGTGGCCCCGCCCTACCCCAGGGGGTCATGATTTGAACAATCTTGAATTTACACAACCTGAGGATACTTCCAAATAAATATGATCAATCAGGGCTTTGCTGTTCCTGAGAAGAAGATTTTTAAAATTTTTCCTATATATTTCTATGTAAAACTTTGATCCTCCATTGTGGCCCCGCCCTACACCAAGGGGTCATGATTTGAACAAATTTGAATTTTTACAACCTGAGGATGCTTCCACATAAATATGACCAATCAAGGCTTTGCTGTTCCTGAGAAGAAGATTTTTTAAAGATTTTTCCTATATATTTCTATGTAAAACTTTGATCCTCCATTGTGGCCCCGCCCTACCCTCGGGGGTCATGATTTGAACAAATTTGAATTTTTACTACCTGAGGATGCTTCCATATAAATATGACTAATCAGGGCTTTGCTGTTCTTGAGAAGAAGATTTTTTAAAGATTTTTCCTATACATTTCTATGTAAAACTTTGATCCTCCATTGTGGCCCTGCCCTACCCTCGGGGGTCATGATTTGAACAAACTTGAATCTTCACTACTTGAGGATGCTTCCATATAAATATGACTCATCATGGCTTTGCTGTTCTTGAGAAGAAGATTTTTAAAGGTTTTTCCTATTTATTTCTATGTAAAACTTTGATCCTCAATTGTGGCCCCGCCCTACCCCCAGGTGTCATGATTTGAACAAACTTGAATCTACACTACCTGAGGATGCTTTCATATAAATATGACCAATTAGGGCTTTGCTGTTCCTGAGAAGAAGATTTTTAAAGATTTTTCCTATATATTTCTATGTAAAACTTTGATCCTCCATTGTGGCCCCGCCCTACCCCCAGGGGTCATGATTTGAACAAATTTGAATTTTTACTACCTGAGCATGCTTCTATATAAATATGACTCATCATGGCTTTGCTGTTCTTGAGAAGAAGATTTTTAAAGGTTTTTCCTATATATTTCTATGTAAAACTTTGATCCTCCATTGTGGCCCCACCCTACCCCCGGGGGTCATGATTTGAACAAACTTGAATCTACACTACCTGAGAATGCTTCCACATGAGTTTCATCTTCCCTGGCTCTGTTGTTCTTGACAAGAAGATTTTTAAAAGATGCTATTAATTTTTCACTAATTCTTTATTATCTCCCCTTGAAAGAGGGCATGGCCCTTCATTTGAACAAACCTGAATCCCCTTCACCCAAGGATACTTTGTGGCAAGTTTGGTTGAAATCGGCTCAGTGGTTCTTGAGAAGAAGATGAAAATGTGAAAAGTTTACGACAACAACGACGCCGACGACGCCGACGCACAACGGACAAATTTTGATCAGAAAAGCTCACTTGAGCCTTTGGCTCAGGTGAGCTAAAAACTGGTTGCAACCACTATTGAAATAACGTTGAATATTGAAATAATTATTTCAATAGTGGTTGAAAATGCCTCTCAAAACCAAACACAGGTTGCAACCACTTTTGAAATACAATGTAACGTTCACTATTGAAACAATGATTTCAATAGAGGTTTTGAATGCTTTTTAAAGCTTTAACCAGGTTGCAACCACTATTGAAATAATGTTCACTTTTAAAATAAAGACTTCAATAGTGATTGAAATAATGATTTCAATAGTGATTGAAATAATGATTTCAACAGTGAGTGATATAATAATTTTATGGCTGATGACAATGATTTCAATACCAAAACCATATTGCAAGCCTTACTGAAATGACCCCACTAATGAAAGAAAAATATAAGGATGGCTTGTTCATTACATTTTCCAACATAATAAATTAATTTATTGAGTTTAAATTATGATGTGTAAATTAATGTTTTCCTTTCTTTTCTAGAAATTACCATTAATAATTATTGAAATAATTATTTCAATAGTGAACATTACTTCAATAGTGGTTACAACCTGTGTTTAGTTTTGATATGCACTCTCAACCACTATTGAAATATTTATTTCAATAGTGGTCGTTATTTCAATAGTGGTTGCAACAATGCTCTCTAAACTGAAGAATATGGTCATATAATTGCAGTCATATGAATTTTGTTCAATGATAAATGCAGAGAGAGTTATCAGAATATATAAAGAAAGTCTTATTGTTGGAAAATAAGCAGGTCCAGTAAATCTCTTAATTTAGCTATATAGCTTGAAATATATATACATGTATATATATATATATATATATATATATATATATATATATATATATATATATATATATATATATAAATAACTTTATTAAGCTATTCAAAATAGCTTGATTTAGCTCTTTATATGCAGTTTTTCACAAAAATTATTTTGGTAAGAAATAGACAAAAAGTCGCAAGTATTTGACTATTTATATATGTGCTATGGGTTATCGAAACAACAAGCAAAATCAAAGATAGCTCCAACTTTGCAACTTTTAAGCAAAAGATAAATTTCTATTATTTGAGTAACTGTCCACTACCTTGTGTGCATTGAGGCATGTATAAGTTTGATTGCTTCTCATTGTACTGAATTATTACCAATCAATTATCTTGTTGATCATAATTGGCCTTCTTTATAATTTCATTGAAGAAGTAACTTATCAATTGCATATGTAGCCCAAAAACTTTTAGAACTTTGAGCAAAGTCTCTTTTGTTTCTATTTTCCTAATTATCTCCCCTTGTTTGAGGGTCACAACCCTAGTTTTAGTATAAATGGAAGCCCTTGGCCCAAGGATACCCTGTGACAAATTTGACAATAATTGGCCAAAGGGTTCTTTAGTTATGGCCCATATTCTAAAAAGTTTAGCAGCACACCGCACAAATGGCCATAGCATTAGCTCTTTGGGCCTTTGGCTCAGAAGAGCTAAAAATGAACCTCTTACATTGATTTTTGGTCAATATTTTGTACAGTTTTTTGATGAACAATGTACAGTATTTTTAACCCAAATTCTAGTATTTTGAGGACTGCTGTACAGTATTTGGGCCTAAAAATTATCACATGTATGCAAGGAGATTTTAATAAGTGAGTTTTAAATGCATCAATTTCAGATGAGTTCAAGGTTGAGCATCATCACTGCACCAATGTGCGACTTTTTGTGCATGCTGAGAAAAGTACACATTTAAGAAAAAGTGTGATAAAATAGCTAAATTAAGCTATTCTGAATAGCTTAATAAAGCTATATAGCTAAATCATAAGATTGTACTGGACCTGATAAGTGCTTGAATTCAAACATTGAATACTTAAAAAACTAGACCCACTGACATGCAACAGCTAAATTTCTGTTGATAAATGAAGCGTATTCTGAACAAATTATTTATCCAAAACAAAGGTGATACTGTCACATGATGACATTGGTAGCCATCTGTCACTTACACTACTCCTCCTTAATCAGCTGGTAATAACATCATTATCCTCGAATTCAGGAAAAATCTGTTAATAAATTAGTTGGAATGATGATAACAAAACTATTCTAATCAGATACAAATGTATTATATAAGACTTCTATTTCACCCAAGAATACACAAGAAACAGGTGACATTCTCTGACTTGTTTACCTGTACTTCGATTGAAATCCTCCTCCTACTTGCTCGCACCGAAGCTTTTATGACTCTCAATTTATCCATCGTAAGTCGGAGAACCCTTCGGCTTTGTACAACTCCTTAACCTTTCCTTGTACGCTTTGTGTAAACCATAAACAATAAAACATGCATAACCCAATACAAATCTCCATGTGTGAGGTACACGGAAGTTAATATTATCGAAAAATCTCGCGAGTCACGTGACGAGACTTACAGACCCTAATGCAGCCGGAATTTGCTTGGTTCCAATGAAAATCTTGAGGAAGGGAGCATTCATTATTTATTGTTGTAAGAAATGCAAATAGGTGATATCACCTATTCGAATTGGTGATATCACCTATTCAAATTGAATAGGTGATATCACTTATTCGAATAGGTGATATCACCTATTCGAATAGGTGATATCACCTATTGAATTTGAATGAGTGATATCACTTATTCGAATAGGTGATATCACCTATTCGTATAGGTGATATCACTTATTCTAATAGGTGATATCACTTTTTGGCAGTAAATACCAAAACGGCGCCTCATAAGTTTCATCTTTTCTGGCCAAGTGGTTCTTGAGAAGATTTTTAAATGACTCCATATGATTTTTACTTTTTCTTTATTATTTCCCCCTTGAAAGAGGAAGTGGCCCTTCATTTGAACAAACTTAAATCCCTTCTTCCAAGGATACTCTGTGCAAGTTTGGCCCAGTGGTTCTGGAGAAGAACGGCTGAAGAAGATGAAATTGTAAAAAGTTTACGACAATGACAGACAACGGGCAAATTTCGATCAGAAAAACTCATTGTGCCCTCGGCTTAGCTGAGCTAATAAATTGCATTGCTGAAAAAATATACCTTGATCATTTCTTCATCCATCTTGTTATCATGTGACATGTTAGGCATTCGGCAATCCTCGGATGATTCCCTTTGTCTTCCAAACTTCCGCCAGAGGGGAATACCTAATTGAAGACCTACAGGTAATCGAAACCTACGGAAGACCTAGGGAAGACCTACAAAAATATGGGCTATATACAGCAAAACTGATGTGATATTCTGATTAATCATGTCTTAAATATATTAAATACACAAAAAAGTTCTATAAAAAGAAGTTTTAAAGTGTATTTTTCAAGCTCGATATGGGGAACTATTTCTTCTCTCAGACGACCTACACAAGAACGATAACTCGCGTAAATAACACATCAGCTGTTCACCAAAACATATCAGAAAAATGTAAATAAATCAATAGTTAAATGAATAAAAATAGAATCATTGAAGATACTTAAAAATAAATACATCAAAGATGAAATAATAAAAGGGAATATTCAATTAGATATTATTTTATTTTGTAAAAATATAAATAAATGAAATAAAATAAGTGAATACATGCATGTTACTTGTTTAATTATAAAAAGAATTTGTATACTTTGTATGTAATTAACAAACAGAATAATTTCTTGCTGCTATCCATAAATTCATTGTTTGATACTGTATATTTTAAACTGTCGTGTTAATTCATATTTCATAGAATTCCACTTGAAAGTCTTATTATATTCATATTTCAGCTAATATTTATTTTTCAATTTATATCTTTGCTATGTTGACTGTAAATTAACTTCATCAGAGCAAGTGAGTATGTTGATAATTGCAATCAAAACACGGATATATCCCCAGGGTGTGTATATAACACGTCAGTGTTGAAGCCTTTAGTTCAGAGTGATAACTTACTTTACATGATTTATGACAAATCCACAGTGTACATATCAATATTTCTGACTAGAATATTTAATATTTATTTAATATTCATCCCATAAAACATATTACATGTTTGAAGAATTGCAATATTAATTAAATATTGACTACAATAGATATAATATGACAGTATACATGTGAAATAATTATTTTTATATATAAATCTCATCAAAATTCATATTCCAGCTTATATCTTTATTATAAACATGATTGAAAAACTCAAAAAATATCATTTGGATTTTTTTATTTGTATATTCCCCTTTACCGATATTACAAACATGTGTTGTTGTTGTTTACAAGTCAACCAGAGTTACCGTTCTTGCGATAGGTCGTCAGCGAGAAGAAATAGTTCCACATACCGAGCTTGAAAAATACACTTTAAAACTTCTTTTTATAAAACTTTTTTGTGTATTTTTATATTTAAGACATCCTAATCAGCCAGAGTTCGTTTGTACCAAACTCTCTGTGTGCAGAGACGCAGAGGACTATGGGTAGTATGCTTTGTCCTCATCAAACGAATTGGCCGAAGAGTGCCGAATGGGCATTTAACCTGGTTCCCTATCCCTAGTGTGCTTCGTGTACGCCACTATGGAACGCCACAGCCGTCTTAAGGTTGTGTTCTATGTAATAAAGATATTAATGGTCACGAATGAAAGGCACATAATTATGGCATGTCAAACGTTGCAATATTCGATCTTTTCCATTTGTATTGTTGTCTGACGTCATGGCGTCAGACAGTACTAAGATTTAGCCAAGGCTTGTTGGTCAAGTCGTTCAATAGATTTCTTGTGATAACTTGATTTTGGAAACTTCGTACTATCTTAACTATCAATTGGAGAGCATAAGGAGTAAAGGAAACATGCTAAACACCCAAACAAGCCATAGCATTGGAGCTGATGTCATTATTATCACATTATACATTACAGGTTACATAACATTTGACCATTCTCCGAATGCATCATTCATGTGCAGCAAAACAGAAGGAATGAAGCTGGTCAGGCCAACACTGCCGATTATCTTTATCGGATTTACTAATGGATGTTTATTTTCAATGCACACTAAGCCTCTCTTCCTTTAGCATTTTTATAAATATACACATATTCATAACTTGCAAACGTTTGGTTTATTCATAGTAAAAAAAAAATCGAAGTGAAGAATAGATGTTGAATATTCCTTTGCTTAAATGCAAAGATGTTAGCTCATTTGTAGCACGTCTATTTTTTTGTTTTAAATAAAACATTTCTTAATTATCAAAATTGTTCACCAATTGATGTTTAGATTTTTATGTATTGTAGTTTTTTCTTTCAAAAGCACTAGATATAATTTTGAACCCATAATCAGGCTCGTTGGAAGAAATTTCCGACATTTTCAATTTAGGGTGGGCACTATCAAGAAAAAATTCCTTATAGAGCATAAAAAAGTTATCGAAAGCTAATATTTACATGATTTAGGGGACACAAGCATAAAATAGCTAGGTATAAATCGGCAAAATTATTGGGGGCCCGGCCCTTAACATTCCCCCTTTCCGGTTCCTACAGTACGTCCATGAAAAAAAGAAATTACAATAAATTCAAAATAGAATAAATTCATGTCCACGTTTTATTTTATGTTGATGCCTCTGAATTGAACTTTTCTTGTTTCTTAGCAAAATAATTCATTTCATGTTGATTAGACTGAATTAAGCTTTTCTTGATTCTTCGCATAAAATAAATTTGCTCAAGTAAGACAAGCTTTTTTAGGAAAGCTAATACTTGTATACTTTTCCATTTGGATTGTATAACATTTATTTGCATTCTATATTTTCCATTTGTATTGTAAAAAAAAATCATTTGCATTGTATAGTTTTTTTATTTGTATTCTATATTTTCCATTTGCATTGTATAATTTTATATTTGTATTGTGAAATTTCTTATTTGTATTTGATAATTTCTCATTTGTATTGTATCCGAGCATTGTTTATTTACATGTATTTCGTTACGAAGGATTTCATTGGTCAAGTTTTAAAATTTTTTTGTAGTATAGGCCTAGTGATTTTTCGGCTGAAGTGGGTTCCTCTATTTGCGTGGATGCTAAGGGACGGTCATTATTTTCTTAAGGGGGGGGGGGGGGGTTGTTGAATCAGATCATTTATTTTCGTGCTCTTGCAGGAAAGAATATTTATGTCCAAGATGACCAGGGACAAGTTGAAGAAGAAAATCTTACCAAACCCGAAACCCATTGTGTGTGTGTGTGTGGGGGGGGGGGGACTTTTCTAAGGAAAGGACACATTATTTATTTGCCATCTGCAAGTGCCCCCTATTCATCGAAATGGCCGTCCTCTAACATGCACGCAAATACATATAGGAGCCCAGTATGTTTGCTTTGAGCATCAGGAACATCTCGTACATTTTCATCACGGTACAGGCTAAATCTTGACCAATGAAATCCTAACGAAATAAATAAACAATCCTCGGATACAATGCAAATGAAAAATTGTCGAATACAAATAAGAAATTTTACAATACAAATAGGAAATTATACAATGCAAATGATTTTTTTTACAATACAAATGGAAAATATAGAATACAAATAAAAAACTATTATTAATTGTAACGGGGACGATTACAGATGTTCCCCAAACGCTCCTCAACTCCCTTTTGGTGTCCTATTCCCAGTAAGCTTCATTAAATATGGCAATCAAGTACATATGTCGGTCCTTTTATGCATTACACGCGCGCCACGGCCATGCATGTACATGATGACCATGTCAACTTGTCTACACTTTTAATACATCTTTATACTCAAATTTCACCAAAAGATTAAAAAAAAATTGGCTATATTAAATATATTTGTCATTTTACGCATGTATGTCCATGATGACCATGTCATCTTATCTACACTATTAATATAATATCTAAATATTTTGAGTATCAAAGCATTTCATCAAAAAGTATAAAGTTACAGCTATATCAAGTATATTGGTCATTTTAGCATTGCACGCACGCGCACGTGCATGCATGTGCATGGTGACCATGTCGTCTCTTCCACACTTTTAATATTTCTTGATATTCTTAGTATCAAAGCTTTTCATAAACATATGAAAGTTATGGCTATATCTATGGCACGCCAAATTCACAAAAATGAGCTAATCATAGTTTCACAGTTGATAAACTAGGTTTATCGACTGTAAACTATAGTAAACGATGATAATCTATATTTCACATAAGTA